AAAAACGTAACATAACAAATGTTTTCTGTAAATTGAAAGAATTAGTCGCAAACGTATACTTTATAATATATAATTTTATATAAATAAATGTTGCATCTCCCATTTCATGAAATTATTGATTTTGGAAAATTAAATATTTGGCATTTCAAATGTGGTTAACATTCGTTTTTTTCACAAAATATGGTAAATTAATATTAGTAAATAAAAAGAGCTAAATGTAAATTCAAAAGTATGATGAATATTTAATGAAATTGCTTATATAATCATGATGTCAAAAGTAAAGCTATTTTTATTAAATTTTTCTTACAAATTTCAAATAAATTAAACAAGCGGCGATCAATTCTTACGCATTAATAGTCAGTCCCGCGTATTTCTATCTAACAAGTTGTGCCGCACGACGGGCTTTAGAGGGGGTGGTCGGGGGCGAGAGTTGCCAGGCAGGGCCAGCGTTATGTCAATAAATTTAAACAGGCGGCTGCACACCTCTCTCTGCTCTTTCTCTTTACATCGACGCGATTAACAATGCGTAGAGTGGCCTAGCCTGTCCTTCCGAGGGGGTGAGACCCACCCCCGCTGCAGGGAGCGCGCTAATGAGTCACGAGCATGCAGACCAGACGCTCTTTAATCGGAATTTCCAGCCCAGTGAGGAATCAGAGGAAGACGAGAGTGCGTTTCCCTTAATTAAAAACCAAGCGAGAGGGTTGATGGTGCAAAGTTCAACCCTTAAATGGCACAGTGGGGGTGGGTTTTATTATTTTTTGCTCGAGAGGCTGGCTGTTTGTGTAGAAAATGAACAAGCCCTTTTGACGGAGTAAAAACGGCGGCCGCGTGTCTCTAGACTCGGCGCATAAAAGTTTTAGATTAAAAAAGCCGACGCAAAAAGTTTCGCAACTTTCAAAAGTTGGTGGTTCCTCCGCATTTTATTTGCATTTGCTTAATCCAATTTGGTCAGCACGAAATTTCCCTACTCAGGGTGATCGGAATGTGCTTGAAAACAATAATAGACGTGAGTCACTCTCATGTCACGCAATTTTGTGTTCCTTTGGTATGGGATGCACAATCAGTGAAAGAGTTGTTCCTGCATCCAACCAAGCGAGCAGCCCAGCGGTTGGACCGAATGAGCACCGGATGCAGCGTCGCCGGCACTCAACCAGCATATCAAACACCAAAACAGGCAGCCATCTGCTCAAAACAAACGACTCTCCTGCTGCTTGCGATGGATGCTGTGAGCAGATAACTTTGGAGAGTGCGAAAATGTCTGGTTTGCATTTTATTAAAAAAAAAGAAGATACATCACTCTAAATTTATAATAAAATTTAAATTAATAAATAATTCCTGTTTAAATTCAAAACTACTTCATGAAATTTACTCCGATCTTGTTCTTCTACAAATAAAAAAAATGTCAATTAAATTCTTAAAAAAAATATAGAAAATTTATATTATTTTTGTTATTTTATTTTCTGAAATTGAAAATAAATTATGTAAATTACAAATGAAACATTAAAGTCCGTTATTTGTATTTATTACTTCCTTTCCTCCAATTAGAATTACAAATTGGCGGTTCACCAAGATCGATTGGTCCGCCCTGGCAAATTATTCAACGCGTAGGGAGCAATCGGTGCGGGTAAACTTTGGCGGGTTACGATCGAGGGAGAATCAGTTTAACAGAGCAATTTGCCGGCGGCCAGTCTGCACATGAATATTTAAATCAGGTAAATTCGAGTGGGCAGAGATTTGGCAGCTTCGGAAGCAGGATTTGGAAAAAATCCAAAAGGAGTTCGCAGAGTGTTCCGGAATTTTCGGCGCCGTGATTGCTTGCGTGTTAACACGCGGTGTGTGACACGGCGAAATTGTCGAGAGCTCTGACGTCATTGGCAGGCACAATACAAATTTTGGGAGCACACCCAAATTTGCCAAATAAACGTCTCTATCTGGTCAAACACGGGACGTGCACTGGTGCAAAATGAGTCAGCTCCGGAGAGAGAGAGAGGAGCAGTCGAGTGTGTGCATTTAATTTTTGTTCTCACGCCGAGTGTTCTTGCGCTCCTTGGCGAAATAATAAATGGCGTTAACGCGCATAAATTCACGCACGTCTGCTCGGAATTAATTAGAGCCGCACAAAGAACCCGCCTTTTTAACTAGATTTCATTTCAAAGGCGGATTTTCCTCTTTGCTAGTCGAGTTGAAAATTCATGCTTCAGGAGGTTGTTTAAATTTTTGCATAGGAGAGGATTTGCAGAAATTGTACACTGTGCGAAGCGATGAAAATAAAATAAGAATCCTGTGCATTGAGAAAAATTATTATTAATATTTTTTATATAAAAAAAATTATATGTTATTTAATTTATGAAATTTTGTTATCTCTTTAATTAAATAAAGCTTTAAAATTTACACCAAGAACATCATGTAAAAACAGTTTCAGTTTTTAGATGGAATTTTTACCTTCAAATTAAAACGGAGGTCAAATTTTTGAACGAAAAATTCATTATTTATGAACCAAAAGGAAAATGGTTTTCAGCCAGTTCAGCCTCATATTTTTGTTTGCCTTAGCAGTCCAAAATTCATGCAAATCATGCGAGGCTCGGCGTGCGGATGGCGGGAAAATGGCTTTTAGCCGCAGTTTATTTTGGGGCCGACGTCACGTGCGTATAAATGTCTCGCAGTTATTTTTCCGCAGTCGCTTTTTCACAGCTTCGGACAACAACAATGCTCCATTAGGTCCTCCTTTCCGAGTTGCGCGTGGCAAAAAGTGAGATAAATACACACTCGCACGACGCACCGGCAAAGATTTATTGCCCAAGAAGGTCAAAATAAAACATAAAAACCGGCCTGGTCTCTGAAAGGGCTGAAAGAGCAGGGCGGCGATCGGAAATTTTGCACAATGAACTTGGCGGAAGCGAAAAATTTCGCGTGACGGGCACCGAAATAATAAATAAAACTGACAGCATTTCATGCGCTCACACCATATGATTACTGCAATTACAATGCGATAACTTCACTCATTGCTGTAAATTAAAAAAAAAATAAAGATGAGGGAGAAAATCTTTGAGAGTTCCCATTCATCACGGCTGTTGATTTTGAATCGCTCAGGTTGTGGGAAGAGATGGTGGGAAATGGATTCAAATGAGAGCTGCGGTTGTGGGCGGTGATTGTCTAAGTGCAATTATTTTGTCCCTCATCAAAGCACATCCTGGATCGGTCTTGATAGCAATTTAATTGCAGTCCTAATTGTTAATTTAAATTTTGTTGTTTCCACTTGATGTCAGAACACGGAAGAAATGAAATTTGCACGGAAAACAGTTAAATTTGGGGTAGAAATTTATTCAAATTTAAAAATCCATTATTTTTTGCAACTTAATTTTCACGACGGGCTTCTTTTAAGCTTCTACTGCCAATTACGCTTTGCTGATATTGCGAGCAGCATTTCTCTTATATAAAATACCGCTGCAAGGTTTTTCATTTAAAAGCAAATTAAAACAGCTTTTTTCAGCAGAAAATACCGGGACGGTTTAACATCATGCAGGAGCGAGCCTTTTGATCAAATTTGCTTTGTGTCCTTTTGTGCTGAGCGGCTCTGTCTAAATTTATAATAATATCCGAGCCGTGTTACTGGCGGAAGCTGTACTGGAAACAGCAGCGGCATTTCCTTCCCTTGTTGTGCTGGATAATGTGTCGATTTTGATATTATAGAAAGGGGAGTTCTTATGTTTTCATATTTCGTTTGAATTTATACCTTTGTTGTTCACAAAGCAAATTAATGAGGAACAAAGCTTTTTTGTATTTAAAACAAAACGCTCAACTTAAAAACACGATACTTTTGATAATGCAAAAGGTTAGTATTGATCAATGTTTTGTATTTATTTTCCCTTTCATTAAATTTTAAAAATTTTTATTGACACGTATAAAAAATTTAATCCCTCAAATGAGTTCAAAATTTTTGTATAATTTAAAATATCATAAATTTTAAATATTGTTTGTTTCAGATAAAAAAAATTACTAAAATCAATTGCTGATAACAAATTATATAATGCATACCTTCCTCATTTTGTAAGTGCAATGGTGCGTGAGTTTCAGCATGCGCTAGGTAATTTAATCTGCTCTCTTTTTCAACCATAATCTGAAGAATCCGCCTTAATCTGTTATCAGTTGGTTGGCAAAGCGCGCCGTTCTGTGATAAAAGCAGGCGAGATCACTTGAGTGTAAATCGCTCAGTGTTTTATTATACGTGTCGTGCGGACGGCCTTGTGCGGCAAATAATCGTATTTCATACTACAATATTCGAAACTCTTTTGTTTTTATTAAACATTTGGCCCCCATATGTTTGGCCGGCGAGATTAGATTAAAGCGCAGGGGCCGTCGATCGATATTCCTCCCCGCGGTGCGCGAGCTCATAATATTTTTATTATCAAAGGGCAGCAGCTCGGTGTACGGTTTGCTGGAGAGAGAGAATTTCTCTGGACACCCGCTTATCGCAATCAGGAAATATAGCAGCTTGTCAGCAGGCCAATGCGCCAAATACTGCTGTTTGCACTTAGTATGCCTGTTTGTAATGCTTTGCTCAAAGTGCACACTTTGTAAATATAACTTTAGACAGTCATTTAAAATCCAGAATTTGAATGATAAACGGTTTTGTTTTAGTATCTCAAGTCTCGGAACGTAATTCCACGTAAGGCGTTTAGTCAAAGTTAATAATTTAAAAACTAGAAGTTTAAATTTCATGGAAATCAATTATTATTTTTATTCTTCTAATTTATTAAAAATTGTGTAAAATAAACCAGTGATTTAATAAAAAAAAATGGTTGCCATGTAGAGAAAATAAATTTTTTTTATATATATTTTTTTTTTATAAATAAAAACTGCTCTGAAAATATTGTATAAAAATTCTATTCATATCAATTTCTTATCATATCTCAATTCTTCCTAATTCACATAATTGCCCCTTTATGCACCTTGTGAATGCGTATCAGTGAGATCAAAGGTGAAATAATTTGTGTACTCACAGCAGGGATCTCGTAGAGTTTCTGCAGCTCGTCGTAAAGCCACATTTCGACGGCGAGGCGCTTTCGGATGAGACTCATCTGGTGTGATCCGTACTTGGCCGTGAGGAACTTTTCGCGGCTCTTCTTCACCTCGCTCTGGTCCGAAAAGTTGACGTGCAGGCCCGACTTGGCCGGGCTGCGTTCGTTGTGCACATCGCCTCCGCGGAGGCCGCTGGCCGCCGCCGGGCCACCATTTGTGTAGCTCGCAGTCACGCCGCACTCCATTGGCAGTTTTTTCTGAAACAAAAAGTTTTATAATTTAGATTTCAATTACCATTGGCGAGAGTAAATATTATAAAACTTTTGATTTTAAAAACATTATTAAATAGGATTTATTTTATGTTTATTTAAAATGTTAAAGTGTTAAATAAATATTTTCAATTTACTTAATTATTCTTTATAATATTATTAATTTTGTGTTGAAATTTTAAAATGTTAGCACTATACTTATTTTAATTATATTTAATTAACAAATTCAGTTTAAATATATTTTCTATTGTAGTCAGCATGAAGCAAAAAAAGTTGGTTTCCACTATATGAGAATAATTCAAGTGTGTCGGATGTTAATTCAAAATTCAATTCCCCTTTAGTTATACGATTTATTGAAAAAATTAAATGCCACAAATGATCATCTTTTATTGATAATATGACAAAGAAAATAGCATCAAATTTTTTAGTAAGCAAAAAATGATATGACAGTGAAAGAATTAATAAATTTAAGTAGTTTTGAGAATTTAACCCTTTCATGTTGTTTTTGGGTCCTAAAGTGACTCTTGGGCATCTGTGTGCAGACCAAGGGAGCGATTCACCTGCTCGTTATTAATTGTTGTGGCGGCACATCACGAACGCACACACCACGAGAGTGCACTTGGTCTGATGACCTTGCTCTCGGCAGACAAAGGTTGGTGTTTTCGGTGCCACAACAGCAGAGCGTGAACCGCACGCTTCGTTTTTTATCAGCGTTTTCCTCTCCGGCTGCAGCAGGTGCTCAGCGTTTGAGGGACCAAAGTAACAAAGGCAAGTGGAGACGAGACGCGATCGTCGTCGACGCGCCGTCACCAGGGGAGCGGAAAATGCAAAAAGTGGCGAAAAAGACTCCGGCAATCTCTTCGGATAAAGAAAAGCTTCGGGGAAAAGGGAGTGGCAGTGTGGGTGAAAATATTCCCCGCGAGGAACGTTTCGCCACCAACCTTGTTATGGAAATAGCTTTTGGGACAAAAATAATGATGAAAGCTCCAAATATCTCTTTAAATCCCAGGATGAAAATAAAATTTAATCGGAATATCAAATCGAAGAAAATTTATAGACAGATTTAGTTATAATGAAAGAATTTTTTTGCCAAAAAAATGACTCAATTAAAAAGAAGCTTGAGCATTTAATTTTAATAAAAGGAGATGAATCCGATCAAACCCGAATAAGGCGACCAATTTTCCGCTCCCTTGTGTTGTTGAAAAGACGGCGGGTTATGCGTTTCAGCCTCGAACGTGGCGCTGCCAAGCGTGAATATGAGCCGTGGAGCGCGAAAATCTGCTCGCCAGAATCAACCGAGGAAAATAATATTAAGGAGCGCGTTAAGATGCAACGCGCTCACTTCTCGCCACCGCATGATTATTTTGTTTTACAATCCTTTCGCAAAATATGGAAAGGTTTCGTCAGCGGTTCTGCAACGGCGGAGGAGAGATTTTCGTCACTAAAGTTGCAATTATGCGGAGAGCAGCTGCTCTGCGGAAATTGGCGCAATGCATAAGAAATAGCTTGGGTTTATCGGAGTGGATCACATACGCACCATAAATTATTTCAATCGCTTCACATCTTCACATGAAATTTGAAGAATAATTTTTTTCTATAAAGATTTACTATAATTGCAGCATATTCATATTTAATATTTTGAATATTTAATTTACTTTCAATTAGTTGAAAACAAATATGGACTAAATAAATTAAATTTCATCATATTCAATAATTTTTCTGGCTTTGTTGGCGTTTTCATCTAGAACATTAGACTATGCGGTCGAATGTGCCGGATCGTAGCTGCAACTAATAACATCATCACTCCGACCCGCGATTATAAATGCAAATGAGCAACACGATATCTCTAATCCAGACATCCTTCCGCAGGCTTTTGTTCGTCCCACACAGTCCGAACGCAAATCCATCAGTTTCATTTTCCAGGCAAAATATATAACCAAGTTGTGGCAGGTGCTGAGATTCTACCGCACACCTGCGTCTTTTTAAGCAAACTATTTAAAATACTCTTCTCCTAATTACATTGCCACTTTATAAATTTAGCAGAAACATCTGCAGAGCTAAATTATTTAGAGAAAAATATCCTGAAAATTTAAATTATTTCTGCTGCATGGCAGGGACTTGAATTATAAAATAAATTTGTTAACAAAAGAGTTCTTATTTTTTCAACTTGGGTCATTTGCATAAAAAGAGTGTCATCCTTTCTTTTTCAGGAAGTAACAATTCATCTTCCGCCAACAAGTTTCATTCTTTCTCAACCACTTTTGAGAGAATCCCCCACTGATGCTTAAAATGGAAATTTAATTTCGTAAGTAAAAGAACACGCTCCAGCAAATTGCAATCAAAAACTGTGAGGCTGGAAACTTTTGTGGCAGCAACTTTTCAAGAGCTTCTTCTTCTTCTTGCCAGTAAAAATATGCACAACTTTTAAAGAGAGGGCGACGATTCTCACTTCAACTTTTCGCCGCCTAACAAAACATAATTCATTGCATTGTTCGCAGCTGCCACTTCGCTTGTACGCCCTTATCACACAATTTTCCGTGAATTTAATCACCCGTCCAACAATTATAAATTATGTGGGTCGATGCCTCTTTTCCCTTTCTTGGACTTGCGAGTTAGGGACAGCAGGTGAAAAAGTTCTACGATTCGCAGCTGCATTGAATTGAATTAATTTGCTGAACTCAGCATTTATTACTATCGCAAAAATTCCTCAGCAAAACAATGTGCTTTGATAAAACGAATGAAAATGTGCCTGATCGAATAGAAAAGAAACGGACCATATAAGTTTTTTGAATAGTTTTGTTATGAGAAAAACTTCGAAGAGCAAGGCAGATTGTTTTATCAGACATTTGTCAGTTTGAATGCGATAATAAAACGCGCAGGTGATAAAGAAGTGCGAAAAAATAGCAAATAATTGAATGCATTTGAGATTAAACTGATTCAGCATCATTCAGGGACGGCCGTGAAATTTTATTTTCACTTGCACACAACTGCCGGTGACTGAAAAAAAAATGTTGATGTTACTTTAAATTGTGTTTGCCGTGATGGAATGTGAAAACCAACAGGCTGGAACAAAACATTTGCTGCGGCTTCCTGCTTTCACGCCCCAATCAACCGATGGAAAAATTCAAATCCCGAATTGAACGATAAAGAAGCAATAATTGATGGAATTTGCTGATAATGAATCAAATCAGCCAAAATTAAAGAGCAGTTTCTTGTAACTCGGTTCTGCTCTTTGATAAAGAAAAGACTGTTTTGATTCGAGACGTTTAATTTTGCACAACCCACCCACTCGAGGAATACATTAGCGGGCACTTGTCGAGAGGAAAAGAGGAGCTCTGACTCGAGAGTTCTGTAATTAACTAACAAAGGATCAAAGAGCGAGCGCCGACTTTTTGGAAAATTCGAAGTTTCGCAAATTGAAGAGTGCTGCAAGGGGGAGAAGTTGGGGGCTCACCAGTCAAGTGCGAGGGCTGCTAAGGGGCAGCTGCGTCCAAGTGGAGCGGTTGCAAGTGTCCAACGCGTGGCCAACGGAGCCGGGAGATGGGCACGGTGATCTGTGGACTCTACCGCGGCACAACACAATCTGCGAAACCCACCGAGCGCCGGAGAACCAAAACGCCGCTCGGCTCTCTGCAGAACGAGCGCCAGTCACGTAGTTGCTCCGCGCGCCGCTGGCAGCGCTACTAAGCGGGCAGCCCACACATTATTGATTTGTGGAAGTGAGAAATTCAAAAAGTCACCATTAAGTCACAATGAAAAATGAATTTAGAATAAAAATAATTTTATAGAAATTAAGAAATAAAATGTATGAATTTATTACTTAATTAAAATTTATCAATTTATTAAGAAGTTTGCAAAGTGAACTAAACTTATTATTATTATTTAAGTCAAAATTTCTTTTAATGATTATGTAATCAAACAAATATTTATGAATTTTATCCATTTTTGTTGATTAATTGATTAATGTAATGATCTATATATAGTACTTAGAAGTGATAAACAAATTGGACATTTCAAATACTATGCACTTCTTATAATAAGGCCACAATGTAGGATCAACAAAATTTTCACACTCAGAAAACAGAAAACCATATAAAAGGAAGTTTTCTTCCTCCTTATGACCTAGAGTGCTTCAACAAAATGCTTTTGTTTGTTTCAATTCTTAAACTACATGCAAAGTTTTTTCTTGTAAAAACAATTTTTTATAACATTTAAAAGCGTAGTTACATGGATAAAATATTTTCAACGTTATTTGCGGTTATTTGTACTGATTTTTATCGGTATCAGAATTATGAAGTTATTTTAATGCCGTCCCTTCACAATTATAATTAGCTCTACTTTCTGCCTACCGCACAATGTACATTGGCATCACTGCGGCTTTGTGCTGACTTTGAATAGATCTCCTATGACGTATGCAGAGTATTTTGTCTGCCTCCATTAAACCGTAGGTCGTCCGGCGGCCTCTGGTTATTAGGCCGCTATTCAAAGAGCACTCAGACGGTGGTTTCAGTCGGCGTTATGCAACCGGTGCGACGCGACTGGAGTGCACGTTGCATAGATATTGCTCGTTTTGCACAACACGTACATATGCCGGCTGAACTCCTCTCTTTTGTCGCGTTCCATTCAAAGCGGCTCAACATTCTGTTTGTGTATGGAAATGCTTCTTTTTTGCTGTAGCTCGTTACTCCGTTTATTCACTGGTGATGTAAAAAAGAGGCAGACGCCAATATTATTTCAGCAATACTTCAGTCGCGACAACAATGATCGGTCAACATAGGTATATTCCCTTTGATTACGATGGCAAGAGTTACGAAACATGACGCCTGAACTTATGCAAAAATTTCCCCCTTACATAACGTGGTAAAGAAATTAGAGTTACATCTATAAATTCACAATTACAGTGTTGTTCTTTTTTCTTTGGTGACGTTTCTGGAAAACGATCAATACTTTTGGGCACGATATAATTAATTTTTAATAAAATAACCTGATCCACCGGCGTTCCTTGTCAAAATTTAATTAAAAACGATTCGTCCGTCAAGCCACCTCATAATATATTTTCTCTTTTCCGCCTTCCCTCAGAGATGGTGCTCGGCGGGCGGTATAACTCTCGCGTGGAGCGGAGGCAAACACAAAACACCCGATCAATAAAACCCCGTGCTAAACAAACCATTCGCTCTTACTCTCCGATGTAGACAAATTTCTCGTCCACAGAGTGCACGGTGAATTTTATTCCTTCGCAATGGGGGGAAAGTGGGCCGTTTTGGTTTTGCTGGGGGCACTGGCGGCCCCCGGGGCCCCGCAGAGGCGCCTCGATCTGTTCGGCTGCGCCGAGAACTTCGACATTCGCTCAGACACGATCATCAGGACGCAGGACTCGCAAGTCCTCGGCGCCAGGTTCATGAATGAGTCCGAAGTGTCCAGCAGGGACGAATGCGTCCGGCATTGCTGTCAGACCACCGACTGCAATGTTTTTATCTATGAGGAGAAGGTAGGATAAGCCACAAAATTCTTACTGCGTTGCGGGGAAATTAAGATAAAAATATTTGTTCTAGAAGACCTATTTCGTTAATACGACGGAAATCTAATTTCTTTGTCTGATGTATAAAATGATTTGATCTTAAAATATTTCATTGCTATGATTGAATCATTCTTGTTTATTCGTAAGATTTATATTTACATTTTACAATCAATATTATTGTTTAGTCAATTTTGGGTTGGTATGGTATAATTAGAGCAGGACAGAGTTCGCAATCCCATGCTACAATAATGCAACAATTTTACAATATTTATATCCTCTAAAAATAATAACTGCCAATTAAATAATTTTATTTTGCATTAATTCATATGTAAATTTATAAATAAAAAATTCTGCTTTGGGTAAATATTATTATTATAATTGAATTTGAGACAATAACAACTAAAAAAATTAATTTTAGTTATTAAAATAATTTTTAATATGAAAATATTACTGTGAAACGAAAATAAAATACAGCAGTATTAGAGTTTTAAATTAATTAACTTAAGATTATTTCTGTACTAAAATATTAAAATAAGAGCTGTCGTTGTTGTGTCTTTATTTGTTCTCTTAAAACCTACGTTTGAAATAACATTTCAAATACATTAAATATGAAATGTATAATTTAAATTGTTATCTCCCAATTGAAAAAACTTACAATAAACGTTAAAAAAAACATTACAGACTCCTGGCAGTTGTTACTTGTTTGACTGCGGCCCAACTGACGATTTCAAGTGCAAGTTTCACACCCACGGCCACTACGTGAGCGGTGTGATGACAGTGAATAGACAAGTGGCTGAACTGGAGAGCCAGATCAAATTGAGCAAACACGAACAGGAGCTTACTGGACTCAGGTAAAGCTTTTGAACAAGCTCAAATTCAACACTTTTTTTTCACATAAAAAATCATTTTCAGCTTGGATCATACGCAAGTCTATTTATTTCTCTAATGCTCTAAACAAAACTGATGATCTTGTTTCAGACGGAAAGGTGCTCCCGCTGGGCAAACAAAGCCCGTGACAACAAGCACAAGCACCAAACCGCCTACAACAACGGCCACAACGAGGGCCACGCCGACCCAAGTTTTCGCCGTGACAACTGGTAAGCAAAAAATAATGATACTTTCCTTTTTTCGGATTTAAAAAAAAAAAAAACGTGACCGATTTTTACTGATAAAGTTGCTATAAAGAAGAATTTAGCATATTTATTAAGTTTAGTCGCAGTTGATTTTTTGAACGTTCAGATTGGATGATTTGGCCCGCAGGTGCTGAATTTAATTGTGCGGGAACAGTTAGTATGCTCGCCGGGTACGTCGCAGTTGGGTTTTATCCGTGCTTGTTTATTTATCATCTAAAAATAAAAGCCCATATGATCAACCACCGTTACGAGTCGCGCACTCTTCGGTAATGAACATGTAAAGTCTCGCAGCAAAAAAAAAGAAGGATTAACCTTTAAACCCTGAGAAGCAACAAAGTATCGAGTTGTTTGTGCCCGGCTCATTAATTTCCTAGGCACACCTCGATATTCGCAGCAGCAATTTTTCTGCTAGTAAGATTTTTTTTCCAAATTTAACTGTAATAATTAATTTGTCCTTTCATTCCGTTGTGAATTAAAATAATATTATAATCTTTCCCACAACCCTATGCCATTTTGCTAAGAAAGTTTTCACTTCCAGATATAAATCAATACATAGCAGGGGGAATAGAAAGAGAAAAATATGAAAGCTGCTCGCCGAAAACTCAAAATGATATCGCACACCAGAAAATTCTCATGCCGAAACCTTTAATCTTATTATTCTCTGCATAGAGGCAAATCGTGCGAAACTTTTGCAGCACGCCGACATAATGCGAGATCCGTTTCTCGATAATAATGCCGTACTGCACGAAATGAAACAAAGGCGAATAAAAATTTGATTAAAACTAAAATGCAGCTGTTTGGCTGCGCGTGATACGAAATGTGTAATTAACATCAACTTTTCTTAATGCAGTAATTTTTTTATAAAAATTTTATTTTATCTCGCATAGCCACGGAAGTCGTAATCCAAACTTGCATTCGCAATCAGAAAAATGCGATAATTTAAGTAAGCTTTCTAAATTTTAAATATGCTTTTGGAAATTTTGACCAGTAATTATGGAGAGAGCTAAATTCAATTTATGGCTTTTTCCGAAAAGCGGATGCACAAACTTGGAGTGCCGACCAACAACACAGAGAGAACCGGGGAGAACGAAAACTAATTCCATAATTCATCAGAGAGCTTCCGAGCTGAGAGCTTTCTCTGAAACCAGCTTTGTTTGCTGGCCTTCCTCATTTCGTAAATCACCCGCACCGCATTTAAGCCAATTGAAATCGCAGGAAACACTCTTATTGACCCCCAGCGAAATTCACCAAATTGGCTCTTGAAAATCAGGGCGAGTCATTTGCCAGGGAGAATGGCTTTGTTGCCTCATTGAAATGGCTCTATGCAGCACAGCAACAATTATTTCTCATTAGGCCGCTAATTCCACACTCGCCAAACTGCTAATTGAAGCTACAATTTGCGATGATTTAGCGGCCAGAGTGCGAACTAGCGAGTGTGACTGGCATAAATAACTAATTTTCACGTACCGCCTTTGTCGCGATGCACTTCCTTGTTAATTAAATGCCAGACTGCGTGCCGCAAATTTTTGCGCAACGCTCTTTGTGCATTTTTGCACATACACTGCGGTAATACAGAAAATTTTATCATCAAACATTCTTTGCTTATGAAAATGGAAAAAAATATTATGACGAAAATATCATAAATCTTTAATTAATTTGACCAGTTGAAATTGAATATCTATCCTCATGATCTTTTATTTTTAAAGCAATAAATAATTTAATAAAAATATTATCTGTGTCAATCTATGTTAAAATATTGTAGAGTTGGAATTTTTACCAAGCAAAAATTCAGACATAATTCCGAGCCTATAAATTAATGAAATAATTAAAGGCAAGACATGCGTGCAAGTTTACGATTTGAGTGTAGTGCGGGTCAATCGCCGATTATTTAAAGGGCAATAAATGTGCGTGGCCGAGCGCTTATTGCGTGTCTGAGACTCTTGATAATTTCGCTGGCTGGCAAGACGGAAAACCGGCTGTTGGTCGAAAAAAATCGTCCGCAGGCGCACGTTCGGAGCAGCGGCGTGGGATTCTCCCGGAGGCCTGTAATTGCGGCCAATTTCCATTCAAATCGCAGCCACTCATTTACATTCTCAATTACCGCCAGTTTTAATTCCTGGACGCGAGCGAGCAAGCGCCGTCTGCGACCCCAGACCAATGATCCATCTCACCAGCCATGTAGGAAATAATCGTTTTCATTGTAATTGCTATATCGAGACCTCCTTCTACAAAAGGAATTCAACAGTTCACTTTGGGACTTGGTTTATTATTTATTTAGGAGGAGGTCTTCCCTTTTGTTTGCCTCTGTGGTTTTGACTCCATTAAATTTCATCTCTGCCGCAATGCGTCACTCCCAGATTAAATCTCGAGCGTGGAGTTAGGTAATTAAAAGAAGATATTGTGTGTGTGATCTGGCCCAGTGAATCTGGAGTAGTTTGTTTATAAAAATGTAATTCAGCCTCGAGACTCGACACAGCATGCCTTAAACAATAATTTGATGAGCCACATGTAGATTTAAACACTTCGTGGAAAACCAAAACCTTGACGGAAAGATTGAAAAATTTTATTCCAGTGATTATGATGCTCTTTACTTTCCTTCTTAAAAATCAAACTTTTTAATTTAAATTTCCTGCAAAAAGTAGATCAGAATTGTAAAACTACTCGAAAAACTCCCGCACCTGAAGAGAAGCTCATTAGACTTCACAAGAGGCAATTCGGGCTGTAAAAACCATAAATTTCGCACACATGCACGAATCGTGCCCTACCACGATAATTCTCTCTGGTCCGTTCGCCCACCAAGCGAGGAATTTGAATATAAAAGTATGTACGTGACCATGAATTTTATTGCAATGAGTAACGATCTCGCATGTGTACAAGGAGCAGGCACAGTCGATTGTTCCAAATGAAAATAAACCGGCGCATCCCACACGCGTGATCTGCTTTTCAAAGTACTTTCACAACAAACCAGAGAACGTGGGGACGAGAAAAACACAAGGTCAGTTCGCAAACTGATCGAATTAATTTATCATCCGTCTGTCTCCGGCCGATCGATCAGTCCGTCGGATTGTGCGCGCGGTTTTGTGAGGAAACACATGAGACGTGAATAAATGAAATAAATTATGTGCCGATTCGGTTTCTGTCTTCTTTTTATAGAAGGGTAGCGCAAAAGGAGTAGCGAGTGATTGCGCAAAGGCATTGTTGTTTGCTTTTTGCAACCGGTGGTGTATTGGTAGATGAATTAAGATTGTGTGCACGCTGCTATTTCTGTCGCATTCCAAAAGTGGCAGTCAACACTGAGTTGAAAGAACTTTTTTCAAGTGAATACAAATGTTACTATCTCAATTTTATCTAAAAAAAAATTCGGTCATAAATGAATTTTTTTGAGGTCCTTTTAGAGTAAAATCCTAACGAAATATGAATGTTGCTTTCCCTAAAAACTGTTTACAGTAATTGTATTTTGATTATGAGCGTAATAACCGGAACATTGCAAGTGAAAAACTTCCATTTTGCATACCCATTATTTCCAAATATAGGCCAAGTTAAAAATATTTTGCAAAACTTACCCAAATATAAAGCTTTTTTCGAATTCTAAGAAAATTAAACTATAATATTCAAAATTTTCTAGAAATTTTGTATCATAATTGGTTTCAATTTGAAAATATTTAATTCTCTTTTAGTAACAACTTGATTGAATTATAAAGAGACACCGAACCGAAACAAATTATGAATGCATTCCTGCCCTTTGAAGCCTCAACTGAATGCAAAATTTTGTGCGTCTCTCATTTCTCTCAACATCTATTTAACAATGAGAGGAAGCCCAGTTACAATTTCGATTGTTGCTTTCTCCCGGTGGGAACGAAACCTGTGGCCGGACGCCTTGAACGCGCTGCACAATAATCATCATTGAATACGCAGCCCAAAACGGGAGCATCGGATTTGTCACACCGCTGGAGAAAGAGAATAAAATGATAATAACAACAAAACGAAATGTGTTCGCCGCGAGTGACTCTGCCAGGTTCTGACACAGATTCGAATCAAGCCGTGCAGAAAGGCAGCCGAGAGCTGCAGTCGTGGAAAAGAATTAAGATTGTTTTAGTCATGCATCGTGGCATGCAATAAGTTGAAATAAAGTGCATGTAAATGCATTCAAATCAAGACTTAAGACGCACACATGCGGGAGGAAAAGTCATGCCCCGTGCACTTGCCCTTCTTCCACAACTTCAATTCTAATTTAATGTGACACAGAACAAGACAACAGAACTAAAACCTTTCTCTCTCAACTTATTAATGTATGATTATGCAAGAATATAAATTTATATCAAATTTATTTTTAAAACATATTTAAATTATAACGCTTCAAATTTTACTAAACTTATTTTTTCAATGGAATTTTATTGTTTTAAAACGTTTTTTTAATAATTATATATATTATTTAAGTTATTATATTTTAAAATATCTGCCTTACATGTAAAACAGAATTTAAGAACGAAATCAAGATATTTTTATGTTTTACAATTCTGAAATAAATAATTTAAGTACTTTTCGCAGCTCATACTTTTATTATTTGATCATAAATGAACTTATAATCCTCTTCAGAGGTGATACAATTTTTGCTGAAATAGAAATTAATGAAAAACTTGATACGGTTAAAAATATTAAATGATATACAAATAATAAATAAAGAAACTAAGTACAGGGAATGTATCAGGTTAAATTAAAATTATTTTAATTAATTAAAACCACTTGTATGTTGAATTTAAAAACAAATGCCAAAAACTTTTTTATTCCAAAAGAATCGGTTTTTATTTTAGTAACTTTGTGCCTGTTTAAAAAGTTTTTTGTGCACCTAATTTGAAAAGTTCAAATTTGAAATTTTGAGAATTATAGATGATTTTAATTTTGAAGCGCATTAAATTATAGGGAAAATAAAATTCAAGTTTTGATCAACATTAATTATTTTGCCA